CATACACTAAGAAGGAAAAGCAAGCCAAAGTTGAAACGGGTGTATCATGGACTTGGTACAACATGCGCTGCGACAATTGAGTGATCGTCGACATCATTTTGAGGCACAGTTGAACTTCAAGTACTTTGCGAAACTTGCTACGCGGCGATGCTGACATCAAGTGTGGGTGTTGACCGAAGTTTGACCCCAAGTCACGCACTGAACTGGCGCGTTACCTTAGCAACCCTTTTTTCTTGATCCGCGCGTCGATCTAGTAAAATTGTTATTATATTCAGCGGTACTGTAATAACACAACTTGTATCCAACTTGTATTGGCTTTGAATATTTCAACATCATTTAATTAGTGTGCTGCTTTTCTAATATGTTTACAGTATTGCACGTCCCTAAATATTTCAACTTTGCAATGTAATTACGTGCGGCAATGGGCAATGAGTTCACGCACTGACATTTAAATTCGGGCCACCCAGTTTGACGCAAAACGATATAGTTACTTAACATTTGTTCAAAAAATCTGTAAACTCACAAATACCATGAACGTGAAAAGTTAACTGAAAGGCAACGTCGTTTTTGACAAAAAAAAACCACTTCAATACAAGATTATGTGTGCAAGGTTAGATTTATAGAACGTACATGACCGCTTAACTCTTTTTTTTTTTTTTTTAATAATCATGTCGCACGTGAAACACAGGAGACATATTAGTTCGTCCATTTCTTGTTTACCGATCTGAACTTTTGTCTGGAATGCGATACAGGCAAAGAATAAACATTAATGATACCCACCATTGTCAAATCAACAAAAGGCTCGAATCAGGAAGGCTCAGCTATTTGAAACTTCGTAAATAACATTATTTGCAAGTGGTAGACTTTATTCAAGTGTAATAAACGTAAGTGAAATGTATGGACAAGTCATAATACTCGTACCTTCGAAAGTTACGACTTTTACTCTTGCAATTGGTGATAAATACATGCATAAAATACAACATTGTTTCACGCAACAACAATTTGTATACAGCATTGGACTTGTGGATTTTTATATTAATAAAATACGTGGGCTGATAATATTACCATATGCTTAGTATTTCCATGCCAGCGATGCTCATAACCTGCTCGATTTAAAAACAGCTATTTGAAACAAAGACTCATGGAATCACAAAGGAAACTGTTAAGTAGGTATTTCACACCTTTCCCATGACAGCGGTTGCAACCGTGGTAGAGACCCCTAATTACAAGCAGTCCACGGCTCTCCCCGGTGTACCACGTAGAACCGCTGCGATTACCGCGATGAACCGCCCGTTTGATTTCCTACTCTCCCCTTATGCATATTAATGAGGTCAGTGTGATCAATTATTTCAAAGTGACTTTTGTGTAATTTTAATTTATGCTAAATTCTAACATTCTAGATACTATGGTGGAAATGAGTATATTGATGACATTGAGAGACTTTGCCAGAAACGTGCGTTGGATCTTTATGATTTAGATCCAAGCAAATGGGGTGTCAATGTTCAGCCATATTCTGGATCACCTGCTAACTTTGCCGTTTACACTGCCATTGTTGAACCTCATGGACGTATTATGGGTCTGGACTTACCTGATGGTGGTCACTTAACCCATGGATTCTTCACAGAAAAAAAGAAAATTTCGGCAACGTCCATTTTCTTTGAATCAATGCCGTACAAAGTCAATGCAGAAACTGGATTGATAGACTATGATAGGTTACGAGAAAATGCTGGTTTATTCAAGCCTCGGATGATAATTGCAGGTGAGAAACAGTTCATTGGTAGTGAGGATTGCATGTGCAGAGAAGGGATTTAATTTTTTTTGTTTTCTTTTTTTTATGTTTATTTGATTTTTTTTAGTTTTACTTACTGGTTTCCAGCTTTTTATATACTGTATATCTGTTGTCTTAACTACCAAGATATGAATGGGCCAACTTGAGTCAATACCTATATCAAGATTTTAATCAGATACAGTCAAACCTGTCTATAATGATCACCCAAGGGATCAGGCCAAAGTGACCACTATAGGGAGGTGGCCTTTCTGTTAAGGTTAATAAAT